CAGCCAGGTACCAGATTTTAGGAAGAGATTCCTTCTGGAGAGCATAGTATGTTATTATCTTGACAACAAAGTGACAGCAAAAGAACACTGGCAACTCCCACACTGGTCCCTGTTATGCCAAGCCAGCAGCATGTGTGAGACTGAGCCAAAGCAGGGCAGGCCAAAGCAATGCCATACTCACTTGGAAGTTAGTGAGACCACGTAGGAATCTGTCCCATAGATGGTGGAAGACTTGTTGTTCTTTGTATTTGCTAAACGAACCTGAGAAAAAGAAAATGGTCAGTGTTGCTTTCATCGGTAGAATGCGGATCTCCTCCAGTGTAAGTAACATTCCCAGAGGTTCCCCTGTTCACTGTCAGGGAAAGAAATCACAGGAAGCTCATTGACACCTAGTATGTTACAGAAGTGGAAAAGCTGGAGTCACATTTCCACATTTCTAGAAAAGTTTGGAGAAATATCCAAAAGATCCAGTAGAACCTCCAGGGACTAACTGTGAACCAGAAAATTCAAGTCCACAGTGTAATCCCTCTGTTGCTGTTACTGTGGCTCACAGTGATGACTCCTACCCTTCAGCCCAGCCACTGGCAGACCCTGGCAGACCCCACAAGGGAAAGAAAGTCACACAAATAACAAGTTTCTCTACCTTTCCTTCAGCAAGACCAAAGACAATGATATTCTCTGCTGGCCACAATAAGCAGGTCACAGCACTCTGCAAAGGAGGAGGTAAAAAGAGAGGTAAGAGCTCCACCCTACCCAGCTTCCTGCCCCACTGCCACCTAAAACCGTTCATGAACAGACACTGTTCAGGCAAGAGAGATGGGGCATTTGGACAGGCCTTACATTAGCTGAAGATACTGGACAAACCTTACTTCATGCTGAAGTGTAGACTAGCTAAAAATAAGCTGGGGCCAAGTAATTGAGCACAGGAGGACTATGAGAGGGCAAAAAAGTTACAGGAATGTGTTCAGTTTGGAGCTCTTTTGTGAGTATTTCTTACTGAGCAGTGCTTGGCTTGCCACATACTGTTGGTGAATGTATAAAATCATGGCTGTTTTGAAAGATTTTTTGCAACATGTATAAAATATAAAAATAATTTCACTGTGACAAGTTCTGCAATAGCTATGAGAATACATGTCCATTGGATCTTTATTTGATTAATAAGAAATAGTGTTTATTTTTATATTGACGAGTAAGATGGTTATTAGATGCTACCAAGTAGGTCAGGTAGAAACACGCTCATTAAATCCAACCAAAGGTATTCTCAAAATCTGAGGTAAAGTCAGGATGAATAAAGCTGACCACAAAACCCAACTGTAAGAGAGGGCCAAGAAGGTTCATGAAAGCCCTTCACATCTACCCTGCCAGAACTCCAGTCAGTAAGAAGGCTGGTGTTTAGCACTGTGCCACCAGCACGAGCCTCCCTGGCTCTGCCCCATTTTAAGCATGTGGGACTGCTTAAGATACGTATCAGCATTTATTCATTCCTCATCTATTTATCTCATCTTCCATCCCTGCTCTGATCATTCATATCAGTAAACACAGCTACAATCAGACAACAAAATGTCTCAAGGTAACCAAACTGTTCATAATTTAAATGTCCAACCAATGACCAAGACCAATTTTCATTACCCCTGTTTCCCAGGAATTTGTGTGTTTCCCTCATTATCTGTCAGACTTATTTTCCACTCTAACACAACAAAATCTTGGGAACAAGCCTCACACAGTGGTGATGTGCTCATTGTTTGTCCTCCTGGCCCTCAGCAGGAGGCTTGGCTTGCCAGTGTGATCACACACTGGGATCACTGTGTGTGTGAGAGGGCTCAGTGGTAGGAGAGGGAAAGGGCTCAATAAATGATCTGTCATATTGACTAAACATTTCAAAAATTTAGTTACAGGAGAAGTATTACAGCATAACAGCATTAAGTTACAGCAGAAAGCCAGACACAGTGGTAAAACCCCAGACATACAGCATCAGGAAAAAGAAAAGGATTTAATGTGGGTAGAAAAGGGTAGAAAAGGCATGGGGAAATGAGAAATGAGAGAAAAAAAACTGAATTTCTACATTAAAAATACAAAATCCTGTACATGTGCCATGCACAGCATCTGAGCTTGTGAGAGGCCAGGAGGCCCCCACTGGGCTGGCAGCTGGAGGGGCAGGCAGCAAGCAGTACATAAGGACAGAGTTCTGCAGGGAGGCTAAATGTGCCCACACCTGCGACAGACACCTTGTTCAGGAAAGGGACAAACGGACACCAAGCCCGTTTTGCTCTATTTTCTTCATAACACTCTATTCTCACAACCACTCAGTGCAGCAGCTCAACTGCAGACAAACCAGAGGCTGACCAGCAGCTTTCCTGTCACAAAAACACAGAACTCCCTGGGCTCCCTGCAGCAGTCAGAGCAGCCAGTGGCAGGCCATGACCCAACCCTAACACAAAAGCTTTCAACCCAGAGGCTGAGGCTACCCTTCACCTGAGAGACAGCTTGAGAAAGCCTGGCACAGACTCCAGCAACTCCATCAGGAGCAGCTCTGTCGATGTCTTCAGAGGATTTGGACATGAAGGATGATTCCTCCTACCCTGCAGAGAACTTTCTTGGTGACACAGAGACTATGAGGTGATGGCACTTGCCTGGAAAGCCTGGGGCACCTGCTGGACTTTTGCCTCTGAAGGTACAAGTAGTCAGTACTCTGTATTTTCTCACTCTGATGGCTTTCTGTGCAAGGAATTCATAACACCTTTGCCTTTTCCAGACAGATCTCAGGGCAAGCCTTGGCAAACACCTACTGGGCAGACTGCTCTCTGACACAGGCAGGCTGAGCCAGAGCAGCAGAACACAGAGGTGGCCAAGGAGCAAACCTGACAGAAATCACAAATCTGAGGCAACTGAGCATGTGGAAATTGCACAGTTAGAATTCTGCACACTTTACATTTTGTTTAATAAGCCATCTTGAAGTTTAGAGCTGCAAACCTGTGAAAAATAGTTGGGCTCTGAGTGTTGCAGATTTTTCCCTTTCAACTCCCTTAAAACAGTCCGTCCACTGATGCCTGAAGTAGTCCCCAAAGTTTTGTAACTGACTGCATTGATCGTTCAACAATTTACTTGGTTGCACCCAGGCATTAAGACACCTCTGAAGCCTGATGAGCAATACGTGCCTCAGAATTTAGAGATTCTCTTAGGATCTTTACAGGTCAAGTACAGTTTGGCCAAGTACACTCGTGACTATGAGCAGAGAGACTTCTCACTGTCTTTTCCTACATATGCCGGAGGAAATGACGTCAAACAGAAGTCTGGGTCTCACCGTTTGGATGAACTTGTTGCATATCACCTTCTTGTCACCCCTGCAGAAAAATATGAACAAAAATTACTGTCAGCAACCCTACACATTCTGATCACCCTACTGTTTATACACAGTCTAGTTTGATATTGCCAAACACAGTCCACTGAAGTTTTGCGTGCTGCTAGTCTATCACAACTTTAGGCAAAAAACCAAAAAGACCCCTAAAGTCTGAGCTTCCAAACTGCTGGTGAATTGCTTTTGTGAGTACCGTTAGCACAACTCCTGCCAGCAAATGAGGCTGCAGTGGGGCAGATGTGTGCCATTGCTGCACAGCTGTGACACATGATGGCAACACAGACTCCAGCTAGCTGCACCAGCCCGGGCTCTGAAAGGGCCCTGCTGAGGAAACCTCACCTGCTGCTCCCTTCAGGCACCTGTGGCTCCCTGCAGGCCAGGAGATGGGCACTGCAGTGTGTGCCAGGGTGAGGATCAGCCTAAGGGAGCCCATGGCAGGGCGGAATGGAGCATGCTGGACCTCACCGCACACTCACCACTCCTCGCCGATCCTGTACACGTAGATAACGTTGTCTGTCTGTCCGATGGCCAGTTTAGTGGAGTCCGGCGAGAAGGCCATGCCTTTGACCACGTAGCTCTTCCTGCCGTACTGCGGAGAGGGTCGGTGTGACCGGGGGAAGGCCAGCTGCCCCAGCGCTGCCTGGCCCATGCCCGGCCCCGCTCACCTTGGCGTCTGCCGGCTTCGTGGAGAACTTGTCGCGCCGCTCGCCCTGCTCATCGTAGAGCAGCACCACGCGCTCCGCCGTGCACACGGCGAAGCGGGCGCTGCTGGCGGACCAGGCCATGCAGGTCACCCGCGCCGTCCCGTCCTGTGGGCACACACGGCTCAGCGGGCACACAACCAGCCCCAGCAGGCACACATGGCTTAGCGGGCACACAACCAGCCCCAGCAGGCACACATGGCTTAGCGGGCACACAACCAGCCCCAGCGGGCACACAGCTTAGTGGGCACACAACCAGCCCCAGCGGGCACACAGCTTAGCGGGCACACACCCAGCCCCAGCGGGCACACAGCTTAGCGGGCACACAACCAGCCCCAGCGGGCACACACGGCTCAGCGGGTACACAACCAGCCCCAGCGGGCACACATGGCTTAGCGGGCACACAACCAGCCCCAGCGGGCACACAGCTTAGTGGGCACACAACCAGCCCCAGCGGGCACACAGCTTAGCGGGCACACAACCAGCCCCAGCGGGCACACACGGCTCAGCGGGTACACAACCAGCCCCAGCGGGCACACATGGCTTAGCGGGCACACAACCAGCCCCAGCGGGCACGCACGGCTTAGCGGGCACACACTGCTCAGCGGCTGAGCACACACGGCTCAGCAGACACACTACGCGTCCCAGACCGGTCAGGGCCGCTCTCCCCGACCCGGCCTGCTCCCCCGCGGCCCGATCCTCCCCAGCCCGGCCCGGTCCGACCTGCGGGGCCAGCAGGGTTCGCACGTGCCGCAGCTGCATCGCGCCCTCCGCTGGGCCCGGGCCCGGGCCCGGGATGGTGCCACGGGCCGGGCTGGTCCCACGGGCCCGCTCCGCCGCCGCCGCTGCGGAGCTCTCCTCGCCCCGCCCCCGCTGCCGTGGCAACCCCGCCGCCTCCGCCGCGCTGACGCGAGCGCGTCGAGCCCGCGGGGACCGACCCCCCGCACACCGGCAGGGAGCAGCTCGGCTCGGCTCGGCTCGGCTCCGCTATGGAGGCGCTGCGGGCGGCGGGGCGCGCCGTGCTTCGGAGTCCGCGCCTCGCCCGACACGGTCTGGGTCTCCGCCGGCGGCGCAGTGAGTGCGGACGGGTGCGGGGTCGGGGCCGGGCATTGCTCCGGGCGAGGAGCACGCAGCTCGGCGCAGTCGGGCTGGGGATACGGCCGCTGCCTGCTGCAGGGCAGTCTGAGGGGCCTGGAGGACTGGGGGGCGGAGGGGCCGTAGGGGTAGTCGGGTTAGGGGAGGTGAGGGGGCCGGGCCGCAGGGGCCGGGGCACCGTAGCCCTGCAGCTTCTCGCCGAGCCCTCCCTGCCCCGCTGCCCGTGCTGTCTCCTCCTGCCCCACTGCGAATCGAGGCCGCCCGCGCCAGTGGGCTGACGGGCCTGGGCGGCCGTGCCAGGTGCTGGAACACGCTGGACTGCACCGGGGACCTCCCCGGCCTCCGCGGGCCTCGGGCCCCTCGGGCTGCCACTCCTGGTCCTCTGCGAGTGTGCCAGGCCAGCCCCTGCTGTCTGCGGCCCGGCAGGATCCGGGACCGACCCATGACACATCCCTGGACGTGTTCAAGGCTGGGTTGGACAGGTCTTGGAGCAACCTGGTCTACTGGAAGGTGTCCTGCCTGTGGGAGTGAAACTGGATGAGCTTTAACATCCTTTCCCACCCAAACTGCTCCATGATTCCATGACCCTGCAGGTACCCTGTGGCACAGGAAGGCCGCGTTTGGCTGTTCTCAGTCAGCTGCTGAGGCTTTGCTGGAGCACCCACACTTGCCCTGGCAGCACTGGTATACATGGACTGTCCTCAGAGTTTGGAGTGACACAGGGTTCTACTGCCCAGGGTGGAGGTCACAGGTGCCTGCATGACACCAGGCAGCTTCCCTGATAATTGGCACTTGTGGAAGAGTATGCTGTGCAAATAAGGTCTCCTGATTTCCCTGTGGGTTCAGATTATTCCAATTATGAGTTGGACTCTTCTGCAAGTGTGCCAGTAATGCTCAGGGAGCAAATCCCAGGGAAGAGGTGAAAATAACCCTGAAAAGTATTAGCTTAGTGTGAACAGTACATAGCTTGGCAATTCCTATCTCTTTCTTAAGAAAGCATCTGTAGTGCAGTTGCTTCTCAGTCATCCCAGCTGGGACCACAAGTGCTGACTAAGCTGCCCCTGCCCTGGCACCCTGCTGCTGCAGGTGAGATGCCAAGGGGTTTGGCTCTGCTTACACTGGGCCAATCTGGGGATTTTGATCTGAGCATAGCAGTGAATGCTCTTCAGGTGTGCCATCAACTCAGGTGGCTGGGATGAATGCACTGCAGAGAACATTTTGTTTGTAATGAAACAGAAGAGACACAGGAATACAAGGTTTTTGCAGACAGCAATGAGGGCTGCAGCATCCTCAGCCCTGTGCAGATATGCAGGAGCTGTCTGTCAGCACTGACAGAGTCTGGACTTCTGGGGCTAGAGGACTAAAGCTTCAAGGGTGAACTGCCCACTCCTTCTGTTCCTCTTATGAGAGTGGCACAGAGCCAGGAGAGTGTCCTGCTGGGGGCAGGAAGCAACATTTCTGCTGGGAGCCATGGGTGGGGGGGTGGCTCTGGCAGGACTAGCTGTGGGGCTGCTGGCACATGGCTTCTAAGGGCTTTTGTCTTTGCAGAGCTTCCTGAGAGCTGGGCCGATATGCAGGAACCACTGCTTGAGGGGATGTGCTTCACCCTCAAGTATCTGGGCATGACGCTGGTAGAACAACCAAAAGGAGAAGACATGGCTGCTGCTGCCATCCGCAGGATCGTGGCCACGGTGAGAGTCGGTCCTGGGGCCCTGGTGTGTGGGGTCAGAGCCCAGCTCCTGCACTCCTGCACAGGGGAGTGTCTGTATCCTAGCCCTGAGCTCCAGTGAGGGACTGTGCCCTTCCCAAGAGGAGGGTGGCGTGCAGGAGGCTACTGGTGTCTGCCTGTGTGCTGTGGGGAAGCTGTCTTCCTGCTGGATAGCCCCAGCCACCTGCTGCTATGCCTGAACCTGGCTGGGAGCAGAGCTGTGCCTGCCACAGCACGGAGAGAAGGGTGAAGTACTGGGAGAAGTGGGTTCTGTCCTTTCCTGTGTGTGTGGCAGTAGAGTGAACAGATTTGAAGAGTGTTCTGTTCAGGGCATGCCTTCTTGCCAGACTCTGCTATCCCATCCCTACAGTAGGAGCCTTTGCAGAAAGTATCCAAGTGAGTGATACTGTACACTGTATGTGTGGGGCTCCTTCCAGCAAGGGGGTGAGGTGAAGACCCTTGCCAGGTTTGCAGAGATTGCTGGTGTTTTTCCACTGCCAGGCACGGGTTGGAGCTCGCAAGTTTCAGAAGGTGATTCTGACAGTGTCTCCAAGGGGCATCTCACTGCAGGATGCAGACACTAAGGAGATGGTGGAAAACATCTCCATCTACAGGTGGGCATGTCACGGGTATGGGCTGGGTGTTCCCCAGCAGCCAGCTGAAGACTAACGGGAATTTGAGCAGCCGGGGAGGGCTGGGCCTTCTGTCAGCAGTACCTTCAAACTTAGGTCTTTCCTTGGCTCCCTGAGGCTTGTGCCCTCTCTCTGCTGTGCTCCCATCACTGCCTGAGGCTGAGTGTAAGCAGGGTCATGGGTGATCTTGAGTTCATCAGCCCATCCATCATCTCCTTGTGCCCTGCCTCTGTATTCTGGCATTCAGCAGGATTTTGAGGCTTGTGATTGGAAAAGCCTCACAGCTGGGACTGCATGTCTGCCTCCACTGCCATTGGACCACCCTTCTGGCTGCAGCTTCTTGGCCAGGCTAAAGGCAGTTGCTGTGAGAACTGATGTTAATTTCTCCTGCTGCCACTTGTCCATTGGCTGGCTTGGATGTCTGTGGGTGCTGGGTGTGAGGGGCAGTAAATGTGCAGTCTGGTGGCTAGATGGGAAGCAGAGCCAGGACATCTCTTTGCTGCAAAATGTAGGTCTCAGCGCCAGAGCTGATGTGCCAGGTCAGACCATCCTTCTGCCTGTCCCCAGCTGTGTCCTTGGAGGCAATCACCCATCCTTCTGTGCTCCTCTCGTCCCAATGCTTCTGATGGCCAGCTCAACACACTGGGTTGAGCTGGCCATCAGAAAACTACAGAGCACTCTGGGATGACACAGGAGGAGGGAGTGCCTGTGGATGCAGTGATCTCTGCCGCAGGTACCAGGCAGCCTCTGGCCCTTGCTGGGGGTTTGGGCTGCCTGGTCAGCTCGGGCAGGTGAATGCCTCAGGTTGTCAGCAGTGCTTGCTGATATGCTGGGAGTGCAGCAGAAGTGCCATGCCAGGGGTCCTGGATTGTCCTGACAGCTCCTCTTTGCCCCCAGGATCTCCTACTGCACGACAGACAAGCTGCAGAACAAAGTCTTTGCTTATGTTGCCCAGAGCCAGGAGAGCGGGGCACTGGAGTGCCATGCCTTCCTCTCACCCAAGAAGAAGATTGTAAGCACTTCTGCTCTGGCTCTGTGAGGTATGGGTGGGAGCAAGGGCCTGCTTTCTTCCCCTTCAGTGACAGAAGGCCATTACCTGTGCGAGCCTCAGCTGGATTTGGAGTCAGGGAGGAGGTGTGCTCGTGTGCTGCACAGGCAGGGAGTGAGTAAAGGGGGGTTTCCTGTCCCAGCTCCTGAGGAGTTCCTGTCCTAGCTCCTGAGGGTCTGCTTTCGGGGCTGGCTCAAGAGCACCCCCAAGGGCTGACAGACACAAAACTAAGCTCTGGCCTTCCATCTGTATGTTCTGGAGAGAAAGGCAGCAAGGGATGCTGGGGGGTCTTGGATTTCATGGCAGTAGGGTTATCCTGCACTGAGGGCCCAGGTGGAAGTAGGCATTCCCTCTCTTTCATGTACACAGGCCCAGGCTGTGACTCTGACTGTGGCCCAGGCCTTTCAGATGGCACTGGATCTCTGGGAAGCAGCACATGCAGGTAGGAGGAATTTCTCAGATGTATCTCACTGCATAGCTCTAGAATCAGTGTCTCTCTGGTGAAACGCACCAGGCAGGGAGAATGTTTTGTCCCTATGTTGTGTTCTCTGCCACTCCCCCATCTTCAGCTGGGGTGGGAGATGTAGCTGCTCTCTATGCTGAACTGCTGTGCATTGCCTGAGCTGTAGCCCAGCTCAGGGCTGGTGGTACCTGGCCCGAGCAGTGACCCCTCACATTTGTTTGCACCCTCCTGCCAGCACAGCAGAGATTCCCTGTTCCTCACCCACAGTCTTGCCTGCACATTCCCAGCTGGGCTTTCTGCAGGTTGCAGACACTAACTCTGCTGCTTTTGCCCCATCCCAGGCTCTAGGCAGGATCAGCCCCTTCACCCTTCATGTGTCTTGGAGAGCAGTGAGGCCGGCAGACCCCGTGAGCCAGCCCCCCCAGGGAGCGCTCCCTTCACACACCACTTTGGGGTACAGTATGTGCAAGTCAGGCCCATGCTGAGGGCTGTCTGGAATTAGGGCAGGGACAGAGTGACCCCTCTGCAGCTCCCTGCTCCTGCCCTCCGAGAACCCTGCTGATACCTGCACAACCCCCACCGCACATGGCAGCCTGATGTGAGGAGGTGCACTGTGATGCATGGCTCACACAGCAGGTGCAGTTCCTTAGTGTCTGTGCTCCAGGAGCTCTGCTGTCAGACCCAGCACTGCTGCAGCCTCAGCTCTACTCTGCTGGCCCTGTCACACAGGGACCTGGGACCTGGGTTGCACACCTGGTTTCATGGCTGGGGTGAGAGCTGCCTCTGAAGGAGAGGACCCTTGGATCATCATCCTGCCAGCCTGGGCTAAGGCTCAGCCCAGCCCATCTACAGTGTACCTCCTGCATGGCCACAACAATTGGAGCATTGTCATATTGGTCTCACTATGTCCCTGTCTGGGAACTTCTGGATGCTTGGCCTCATGCTTCCAGTGTGAGTCCAGCCTGGCAGTGCTTGGGGTTGTACCTGTGTGCAGCCTGCTCCTGGTAGTCTCTGCCTGCCTCTCCAGCTGCAGGGTGTGACCACCCACCACTGTCCCTGGGCAGAGGTACACTGTGTCAGCAGCTCTGTGAGCATGGTCCATGCTCTCAGCTTGTGTTTGGGCCTTTGCACCTGGAGGGGATGTGGGACTAGCTATCGCCTGTCTGTCCTTGTGTGCCCAAGCCCAGAGGGTTCTGGCAACCCAGCACTCCAATCTTTCCCCCACTGCTTGTGGGAAACCTTTGTACTGTGCCTAGGTAGTGAGTGTCTTGTGAAGGGGCTGGACAGGGTCTGAGCATCCCAGCCTCACTCCTGGCAGAGACCTGCCCATGCAATGAGATATCATGGTGGGGTTTTGTTTGTTTGCTTGCCAGGAGGAAGAGGAGGAGGAGGAGGAGGAAGATGATAATGTCAGTGAAACCTTGTCTGGGTAGGTGGTGAGCTGCTGCTTGTATTCAGAGGTCTCTCTAATGAAACTTGTCTTGTCTCCTTCTCTGTGCTCCCTGCAAGGGGAGCTGCTTAGGCCATAGGCATGGTGGGATCATGGGGGAGAGCTGCATGGGACCAAGGGGGAAGCTTCCTGTATTTCTCTGCTTATATCCACTGAAAACTCGAGTGAACAGAGGGTTGAGTGGTGGAGGAACAGACCATGCAGTCCAGCTTTTGCAGTAGAAATTTGGGGTACAGATACTGACCCCCAGGATGCACCCAGAGATATTTCTTACTCTGTTTCTGCCAGTCTTTGTTGGGGCCAGTCTGTCCAGACATGTCTCTGGGACTCAGTTGTCCCCCTTCTCCCACTGATTTCCCTGGAGGTTGGACCAGGATGGAGGCCTGGTCATGCTGACTTCTGTGTGGACTGGGGGTGTGGGCTGAGCTTGATGGTGTGTGTCCTGTGCTGGGGAGGTGCTGATGGAACAAGTCCAGCAGCGGATTAACCTGCAGGTCTGCTGAAGTGCAGGTGGTGGGCCTGTGAGGCCTGTTCCATTGTGGCTGTTCTCCATGTACATGGCAGTGGGCACCCAGCTGGGTCTGGCAGGTCTGAGCTTGGCTTGAGCCGGAGCCAATGTGTGCACAGGCTGGAGCTGTATGTGTAGCCCAGTGAAACACCACCCCTTTGGACATGGAGCTCCTGATGGGAAGGAGATATGGCTTTGCAATCTCGGAACAGGCTGGCCTGGGAGGAGTCTGGTAGCAGGGGGCTTAGGGCCTTCTGCACCCCCATTGCCTGCTGCTGTTGTGCCATTCCTGCTGTGCCAGGGTCATGAGCATGCCGTGTCTCTCAGGAGGCCATGCTTGGGGTATGATGGATGCTGTGCTCTCTTTCAAAGCAGCATGGAGGAGCTGGGGAGGGGACTCCACAGCCCAGCAGGTAAGTTTCTTCAGTACTGCGTTGGCTCATCCCCCAACATGTCCTCTGTAAGGCAAAGGGGGGGCTGATGCTCACCTGGGAACATCTGCTTCCCTTTGCTGGCTGTGCTGGGCTCCCAGCTGTACACCTTATGGTCTGTATCTTCCTTTCTCTCCCTTTTCAGAATTAACACCTCTTGTGCCCCCATCGAGCTCTCCTACAGCACAGCTACTGTGCTACCGCCTGGGGCCACCCCCGGACAGCTGGACGGTGCTGGGAGGGGCTGCAGACTCCCCCAGCACTTGCACCAGGACTGCTGGCCCCAAGACTCCCCTGGGCTAAGCCAAATCTCTGCAACAACGGACCAGCCACTCAGGATTCACCCTGTGCCTGCGCCTGGGCCAGCCAGTGCCTGCCACTGCCCTGGCACTGCCCTGCTGGCACGGGGGCTGCTGGCACTGCTGCCATGGAGTGCACAGGCTGCAGCATCTGCTCCCTGCCATGTGCCACCTGCATGAACCACCTCGAGCTGCAGCTGCTCCCAGCTTGGGCGGGGGGACCTGTGCTCCTCGCTCTGCTCACTGCCAGGCTGTGCAGGGCCACCCTGCGTGCTCTGAGCCTGCCTGATGCAGGCAGTGTACACCCTCAGGGAGCAACAGCTCTTGGCCTGGAGCAGTGCGTGATGAAGGCCTTTCCCCTGCAGTTCAGCCCCACACCCTCTCACAAATGAAATTACCTGGTTTTTAAAGGAAAGCTCTGCCTTCAGAGTGAAATAAATTGAGTTTTTTATTATTGTCATTTGGGTTTGAGTCCTGAATGAGCACCATGCATAAGCATGCATGGTATGGTGTCTTCTGCATTGCCTGTGGTGAGGGTTGCTGTGCCCCATGCTCATGGAGCCTGGAACTCCCACATCTTCCTTGGCTGTGAGCTGTGAGGGAGCAGTTCCTCCTTGTGCTGAGGGCTGCTGAGGCCAAGGCCCAGGGTGCCTCTGTGACTGGGGAAGAGCAGGCTCAGGCTGCGCTGTACTGGTGTCTTAGTACCTGTGAATGTCACCTGCACTGATAGGAGTTGATGCTGACCATGCTGAGGTCAGGGCAGGCACAAGCCCTTGTGTGCCAGCTGCTCTGAAGTGTCTCTGCCCTGCTGCACCCCAGCTCTACAGTAGTACTCTACAGAGGCGATCCATGCACTTGGTTTCCTTCCCAGATGGAGCAGGGGAGGCTGAAGCATGTCTAGTTTCTTTGGCAAGTGACAGCTTGCAGCTGTGTTCTGGCCAAGCCCCTCACTGCTAGGTTCCTGTCACATCTCCTTCTCACGCTGGTGGCACTGAGAGCCCAGCTCAGCCCAGCTGAGCACCAATGGCTGGCTGCAGCTGGGGTGGCAGGGCCAGTCTCCCAGCAAGTGCCATAGGCACTGCGGAGGCCTGGGGTGCCATGGATCACTCAGGAGCTGTGCATGTTTTTTTTTCACTTGAGGTTTTGCATATTGAATGTGGTTTCATGCCTCTTCTCCCTCAGCTGGGAGTACAGAGCAACATGTAACGTGTTAGGGTGAGTAGGTCATTGTCAGGCCCTCAGCTTCCAGCATTCCTCTCTGCACTTCCCTGCCCTCCTGCACAGCCATGGTCTGAGAAGAAGTGGTGACTTGGGTTTTTTTTTTGGTTTTTTTTGGTTGGTTTTTTTTTGTTTGTTTGTTTGGTTGGTTTTTCTGGTGGGGTTTTTTTTGTGGTTTTTTTTTTTTCTTTTTTTTTCTTTTTTAGCAGAGGGAAAGAGCTTTTTCCTCAACAACACACCCTGATTTGACATTCAATGTCAGACTTATGTTCCTTTTTATTTAGTCAAAACCTCTGCCTTTTGATCTTTTTCTTGTGCCTGCCCTAATTCCTCACCTCTGCTACAGTCTGATCCTTTGTGATTTTTTGTGTCTCTGGCCTATCTAAAAATCTCATGATAGCAGGCATGTCTGCTATGACTTTGCAAGACAGAACTTGTAAACATTTTCCAGGGCACTAGAACGTTCTTAAAACTCTTGTATTTCCCTGACAGCCCTAGTTTTTCTAATACACCTCCTTAAAAAGAGCTAGCAGGCAAAACAAGGTGTTCGTGTCTCTGCATCCCACTGCCATGGTGCTGTTACTCCTCAGGTACCCCTCTCCACAACTGAGCAGGGAGCAGCCCAGGCCCCTCTGGCCAGCAGCCTGTTGGGGTCAGACCCTGTCCCCCTTCTCGGTCCTGCTGCTGGGATGTGTCTGCTCTCTGCAGAGAAGCAGCCACGATGTCACCCTCAGTGGGACAGCCTGCAGCTGCTCCAGCAGCATCACAGGGCCCAGCCTGCAGCAGCAGCTGCTCTCCCTCAAAGGCCACGGGGGTGTGAGGTGACCATGGAGGGCCTCCAGCTCTTGCACAGCATGCAGGACCAGATCTCCTATGGCCAGGATATGTGCATTCAAGAACTTGTACATGCATGCATGCATGGACACACACAGAGACCTGAAGCTCTGATGCTGCCTTTGAGCCAGGATGCTTTTATTGAAAAGACCCTGCCACAGGAATTGCTTATCCTGTCCCTTCCCCACCTAGTCCTGCAGCAGGAGCTGAGCAGCACCTGGAAGGAAAAGTCCTGAAAGTGCTTTTACTGGGAGATTTATTACTGGAAGACACTGGATCCTGTGATGCTTGAGTCCAGGGCTGCAGAGCCTGTCTGTGGCAGGCTGCAGAGCAGAGCATGGAGGGAGAGCAGCAGCCAGGGCAGCAGGGAGCCTCCTTGTTTCACCCCATTCCCTCCAACTGAGACCCTGCAGACCTCACCACATTGTCTCCTCCAGGCAGCACAGGCACCATGCTGCTCAGAAAGTTCATGGCAGCTCCCGTCAAACAGCCAGCACTGCGTCCTTCTGGGGACACAGCGCAGCCACTGCCATGCCCCGACACTGCCCGCTCCCCCAGCCCTGCGGGGCTTCCACCAGCACTCCCTGCCCCGCTGCAGGCTCTGCGGGCTGGCCAGGCACCGTGACAGCACTAGCTCCTCATCGTCCCTCTTGTCTTTGTCCTCTGCAGTAGACAGAGAATTTGAAGGCCCTGCACAGCCATGACAGGGTACAGTGGAGCCCTGTTCTCCAGCAGCAATCCACTCAACCCTGGTGCTGGCTGGGCCCAGCCCCACAGACAAACCCTCCTACAGGCCACAGCTCTCCTGGCAGTGCTGGGGCAGTGCCTGCACTGCCCTCCTCCTGCAGCCCCGGAGCCCTGAGGGGAGCAGCTCCTGCTCTCTGCAAGCAGCCCCAGGGCCAAACGGGCAGCTGAGAACAAGGTCTGCCCCTGATGCCGGGCAGGCATCCAGGGCCTCAGCTGCACCCCGGGCCTTGGCCAAGGCGGTGCACAGGGACACGGCCTGCCCGCAGGCAGTGCCTCAGCCCATCGGCTCCCCTTGGCTCCCTCCCACCCTCGCCGCTGGTGTGGCCCGCCACCCATCCTCAAGGTCATGCTTCCCCCCGGGAGAGGAGGAGGGCCAGGTGTGGGATGGGCAGGGCCACGCTCGGCATGCATGGCTGGGGAGCTGGCTCCGTGCACATCCGCAGACAGGTGCCCTCAGGAAAGCGGGAGTTCTGGTACGTGGATCGTCGCATGCTGAGTTCCAGGCGGCACGCCTGGTGCTGCCTCTTCTTCCAAGGCCTGCTGTGGCTCTGGCAGGACACCCAAGATCCCAGACGGCAGAGCTGGTGTTGCACTTACACCTCAATGATATTGACCGACGGAGATTTCTTCTGTGAGAGAAAAATCTGCTTTAAGACCCTGCCTTGCTGCACCCCTGGGATCAGACCTGATTTCAGAGCCCCTCAGCCTGCAGCAGGCATCGAGACCAGCAGACCTCAGCAGAGCAGGGGAGGGAGTAGGGATCCAACTCCAACTCCCGCTCCAGTTTGGAGTAGGGATCCAAGAGGAGGGATCTCATGCCAAGGGGTATTCAGCAAGCTGAAAAATCTGGAGGAAGGGAACTGGGGACTTGAAGTCCAAACAAAAAGTTTCTGCTCCTGACATCTGCTGGAAACCAAGATGTGGAATCACTGGGACAGTCAGCCAACACAGTGAGGGGAGTTCCCACCCTTGACAGAGGCAGCAGATGAAACACAAGCAAAACCCTAACATGTGGTCCCATTAGAGCATTTGGGCTATAAATTACTGTCTTTGGCAGGTAACAAAGGGAGGAATGTCAGGTGCTGAGGGAACAGCCAGATGAAGGTACTGCTCCCTCCCCATCCACAGCCAGGCACATCACTTCCATCAGGGTGAGGAAGGGACTCTGGAATGACTTGTGTGGTGATGACCCAGAGCCAGCTGCAGTGAAGGCAGAAAAGGAGCAATGACAGACCAGTGCAGGAGCCATGAGAACAGCTGCCTAGCATGTCCATTTGTCCATCTGTGCAGGAGAGGTGCAGCCTTGGAGGGGCATGATGAAGGCTCTGTTACAGTCAGAGGTCAGGTACCACCCTGCAGGGCAAGAGCTATCCCAGCTGTTACACCTTGTGTCTCTTCCAATGTTTCTCCTGCAATCACCCATGGGGTACACACAGTGCCCCAGAGACGCGGGCTCACTGAACCCTCAAAGTCCTCAGTCTTTGGGGTGAGAGCACAAGCCAGGGTGTTTCCATTTCTGGAGAGAGCCAGACTCTCTGCAGGCTGCAAGCCCCAGCAGACACCACGTGCCAGCCCTGTTGCCAGCCCTCCCCACTCACCTTGCTCCGCAGCAGCCCTCCGCTCGGTCTCTCTGGCGTGCTGTGCTCTGAGGAGGGCTTTGTCTTCTCCTTGTTGTTGTTGGAGTCATTATCCTTGATGATATCGTATTGTCTGCAGAACAGGGCGATCACCGCTGCCCAAAGACACACTGGATGAAGGACTCCTTCACAGTGGCTGCCTGTCTGCCCTGCCCACAGCATCCCAGCTGCAGGGCAGTTGTGCCCAAGGCTCCTTGGGGTGCTGCCAACCCGCACCCCCACCTGCATCAGCCTGCACCACCCCAGGTACCTCTGCAGGTGGTTTCCTTGGGCAGACGGGCACGGATGTGGCTAAGGCCATTGGGCCACACGTGAGGTGCTCAGCATTCACGAAAGGCAGATGCTGAGGCACTCAAACAGGGACAGTGAGGTCAGTGGGCAGCTGTGTGGGTTTTGAAGTGCCTCCAGCAAGGCATTCGTTATGAGCTGTTGCTTGTGACACTCACAAAGGCCAGCCTTTGTCTGTGCAAACTGGCTGTGGGGTCAGTCCCTCTGTAATGCTTTCACAGCATGCATCCCATGCAGCATGTCCCACACCTGGGAACCCTGGACACAGGAGTCTGGAGCAATGCCCCCAGAGGTGACCATGCTGGATTCACTCAACCCCCAGTGTGTATGTGATAACACACAGGCACACACAGACTGGACCTGACTCCTCCCAGCTGGCATCCTGACACATCAACCTGTGCCAGGTGTAAACTACCAGCAGTCATCTTGTATTTTTTTTCCAGTGCCCTAGGAAAGTGTCAAGGTCAGAGCAAGGAGAAATTTCTGCAAGATGCCACTACAAAATCCACGTTTACTGGGAAGGGAGCAGGGGATCAATGACTTCCCATTCACAGCAGCTGTATGTGACCAGTCAGGAGCTGACTTATCTTCTTGGGCTCCCATGCTCCCAGGGCAGCCTGCTGCCTGCACTGGCTTTCATTGTGCTATACAGGAGCAAACCACTCACTTTGCAGCTTTAGCAGACTGAGACACAGCCTCTACCA